CACGGTAGTTTTTGCATTGGAGTTTGTCTCCTTTTTTATAGATTGGGCATACTATACTTTTCTTCCATTCGTCGGGTATTTTCTCTTCTTGCCATATTTCTTTGATAAGCGCGTATAAACAATTATACACTAATGACAGTAAACCATGAAATATCAGATATCAATTTTTATTTGTCAATTCATTAATGTCAGTGTTCCGTTTTACGTTTTGGTAAGTTATAAATTTTACAATAACTTTCTATTCCTAATAAGTATTGTACATTTTAGAATCTTGACAAAGGCAAGGGTTTTCTGCCGAAACATTGATTTTAATGGACAATAAAATCTAGTTCCAAATTTAATATATTTTCTTGAACGTAAGAAATAATTGTATATTGTATGTATTCTTGGATTTTCTATAAATATTTCTGCTATAATGGAATTCCATTTTGGTTATTAGTCAATCCTTCCACTCTAATACTGTTGTTTTAACGGTAGGTTCTTAAAAGTGACGACGAACAGTGTTATACTACATATGTAATTAGCCTTAATTCATTCAGTACCTACACAAATATATTTATAGTGACTGTTTAAGATTGTTTAAAATTCCAAGATTTCTTATTATGAACGAGACAAAATTATTCTATTTGAAAAAACTATGATAAAGAAATAGGATTATTACTATTTTCTTTTTTTTGTATGGTATTGCAATGCTGATATTCGTCTGGTTTGATGCAGACCTTTATTTAAAAATTTGGAAATAGTACCTCTTTGATTTCAATTTTCGTTTCTCGACTGCATTTTTAGGATAGTGAAATAAGCAAAAAAGACCCAAATTTGGACTATGACAAATCTGAATCTGAAGGTATCTGAATTTTTTTTAGTTATTATAGGCCTAGAAAAAGAAAATCTATACGTTTTCTGCAGAGAATATTTGTTTCTCTGCAGAGAATATCTGTTTTTGCAGACAAATATCATTCACAGTTTACACAGTTATTTATATACAAAGCATTTGTACATGGCCCGGTGGTCAGATTACTGAAGATAGCCCAATGGTTTGCGTGAAAAATACTATTGTAGTAGCCGTAGAAAATAAGATGCACATTTTACTGTAAATTATGTATTACAAAAAAAAACAATCAAATTAAGTAGATATTTGTGAAAGTGACAAACTATTTAGTTTTTTATAAATCAAATTTTTACAGTTTTATGTTTCACAAAAAAACACTCCACACAGAAAAATGTCTCACAAATTTCACATTTGTATGGAATCTGCTTACATTTTTTCATAGCATAGTCTCTTTCATGTTCTGTTTTCAGATTCTCATAACAAACTGTACACCTTCTTCTTGCTGATTCAATTTTTGTCAGTCGACAAGTTTGTAAAATTTCTTGTTGTACGACTTGTTCTTCCGGCACTTGTTTCTCTAATAGTTTTTTTGTTATTTCTTCTCTGAAGGCAGTAATTTGTATTTTATGTTTAGATATACTTTTATACATAATGTAGGCATTTGTAATAACTGATCCAGCAAGAAGTTCGACTGCTAGTTTACGGTACAATTTTACTCCTCTTCGTAGTGAATTCGAATATTACTTCATTTAATCCGAAAGGGCAATAAACGCTTAATCACTCAGCTAGAACTTATCCTGGAGCAGATATTAACTCAGACCACAATCCGTTAGTGGCTGACATGAAAATAAAATTAAAAAGAATTAAACTCAGAAAACAACAACCAAAAATTAATGTAAGAATGCTACAAAACGAAGAAATAAAAAATGAATTAAAAAGTAATGTGAATGTTAACATGCAAAAAACACTAACTAACAATAAACAAATTATGGATGTAAATAAAAAGTGGTGTAATATAAAAAACACTTATCTGAAACCAACTTAAGAAAGTTTGATACAAAATAGAGACTAAAAATCAGTGGATGACATAGTGGAAGAAATACCACTACAGATGGAAGAAAGAAGGAAATATAAAGGAAAAAATCTACAGAAGTATAAAGAAATACAACGAATAGTTAAGGAAAAAATCAAAACAAAAGGACACATAAAAGACAAAAAAGGAGTACTACTAATAGATTTACCAGAGAAATTAAGACGATGGGAGGAGTACGTTAGAGAATTTATACAAGATGAAAGAGGTGAAATGCAGAAAATATAAGAATTAAATTCTGTAGAGAGACAGAAGATCACGATAGATGAAATCAAATATGCTATCAAAAACTCTAAAGACAATAAGGCAGCTGGATTAGATGAAATACCAGTAGAACTATTAAAACTAGTGGAAGAGGATAACTTGGAAGTATTGGCAGATTTATTCAACACGGTGTACAATACGGCAATAATACCACAAGAGTTTCTAAAGTCAGTATTTATAACCATCCCTAAAAACAAGCAGCAAAAGAGTGCTCCGATTATCGAACACTCAGCCTCATGAGTCATACTTTAAAAGTACTGCTGAAAGTAATACATAAGAGAATATACGAAAAGCTAGCGGTTTCACTACTCGAGAAGGACTATTTGCAATCAACATATTGATTCAGCGATATCGAGATGTAAACGTTGTCTACACTTGTGCTTCGTTGACTATGAAAAAGCTTTCGATAAAGTAAGACATGAAAAACTAATATCAATACTTACGAACAAGCGCATTGACAGTAAAATCATAAATATAGTGCAAATATTATATTTGAACCATAGTTTAAATTGATGGGCAACACTCAGAAGAAATGAAGATCTGTAGAGGAGTTAGACAGGGATGTGTTTTACCGCCACTATTGTTTAACTTATATTCTGAAGAAATTTTCCAAAACACGCTCAATAATATCGAAGCGGGAGTCACCGTTAACAGAAAATTAATTAACAACTCACGATATGCAGACGAAACTGTGATCATAGCAACGAGTATAGAGGATCTACAACATCTTATCAAAAGCTTGAGTATGAATAGTGCTGAGATGGGAATTACTATAAACGCTAAAAAAACAAAGTACATGCTAATTACAAAAAGACCACAAAATATACATCACCTATTGACAATCAATGGTAACGTGATAGAACAAGTAGAAAAATATCAGTACTTGGAAACTTTAATTAATGAAACCAATGATCATACTGTAGAAATAAACAGGCGAATAGAGATTGCCAGATCAGCATTTATACGAATTAAGCCACTCCTAACGTGCCAAAATCTAAATTTGGAGATCAGACTACGTACCATTCGCTGTTATATATTATCAAAATTATTATATGGAGCTGAGACTTGGACCTAAAAAAATGCAATTTAAAAAGAATCGAGGCTTTCGAACTGTGGTTATACCGCAGAGTAATAAAAATATCATGGACTGATAGAATTACAAATAAAGAAGTACTGGAGAGGGTTGGCAAAGAAACAGAACTAAACACCACTATACAAACCAGCAAACTGGAATACCTGGAATAAACTGGAAAATATGAAATTTTGAAACTCATAATACAGGGAAAGATTCAAGGGAGAAGATCTGTTGGCCGAAGGCATATCTCATGGTTAAAGAATCTACGTGATTGGTATCAATGCAGATCGATTGATTTGTTTAGAGCAGCAAGTTCTAAAATAAAAATAGCCATTATGATTGCCAACATCCGTAGGGAGAAGGCACTCTAAGAAGGAGAAGAAATATTCATTCATTTTAGACCTTCGTCGTTGCTTGTCGTTCGTTCGCCCTATCGCTGTTTGTTCTAAAAGCTTGAGTGTTTTGACCATTTTTGTGAGTATAAGCTTGTTTGAAATCTATAAATACGAATGTAAATATAACGTATCGTTCTCTCCTAAACCTTGCAGTCACCAGCTTCATATTTCCTAACGATTTTATATATCAATAAAGTGTATTGTAGTGCAATTTTATCGCCATTTTTCAAAATTGAATTAGAGGTTTATGTTATAGATCGCATAAATCATTTACATCCGCTACACAAATTTCAATTATTTCTTCATATAATAAACCTAAAAATATCTACAGCTTTGTTGTTTACTGCATTTCATAGCCCTATAAATATCGAGCCAAAGTGAAATTTAGGAATGGAGTAATTTTTCGAAATATTTTGAGCTGTTATAGTTTTTAAAATCCCTGTATGCATTTTGAGATCCCTTTCCGCATTTCCATTGGATCTAAAGAGAAATATGAGGTCACGAATAATTAAGGGCTGTCTTTAGAATGCATCGAGCCGTTGAAGGCATGAGATCGAAAATTATAATAGCCATATCAGAGGACAATAAGCATACCGTCAGGAACGCAATTACTATATTTTTTTATTACCTACATCCTAATGGGAATTGCACCTGATATTGATTTGTCTTGACCCTATCCCTGATTTTTATCGGAAATATGATAAACACGTGTTTTAAAGAATGTCTTATTCACATTATGTACTAGTTAACATATTATTTTTAAGTTTAAAATGGGATGGTTCCCAGTGGTTGGCTGTATACTATAATAATTAAAACACTTTATAATGAAGTAAAAATTTCTAATGTAGGGGAATATGTTTTACCTAAGGACAATTTTTACAATTTTTACGCCCTGAGAGGTCATAACCAACCAGAATTAATGAAGAGTTTCATTGATGAATCAAATTTAAAATCTTACAAGCAATGTCTTGATGGGACCCTAGACGAGAAACGAGTGTCCATGTTTTATCCCTATCCTATCCTTAATAATAATTTTAATGCTTAAAATTTGTAATGCTACTTAAGTTTGAATTTTATATTATCTTTTTATATTGTACTACACAATCTTCTTTCTGGGTAGAATATTTTCATGTTGTGACTGGCTGTATGGCACTTGCCTATGCCATTTAAACAAAAAAAAATTTTTAGCACTTTTTGAAGACTTTTATTTACTTTGGCATGGAATAGAATAGGGAATATGAAGCCAAATAATATAATTTTTCTAATATCATAAACATTTTTAAAGTAAAATAGAAACAAAACTTATATCATTTAATTTTCTTTGCAGAATCTGGTGGGACATAAATCATGGAAGTTCAGATCTGGCATTTGGTGGTTTTGACGCTGTATATTACTAACGAGTTTAAAGTGTGTGCGTTTACTTTTTCAGGTTAGTATGCTTTTTTGCTGTATTTTTGTATAACCATAGTTTCGATTTGCTTTTGAAATACTATTTAGAGAGTACTATTTAGAGTACATTTAGATAACTTTTTTGACGAATATAGTATTGTGCTGGATATACTCTGGATACATAAACTCATGGACAAAAATATTGAATATTTTGTCCATGCCAAATATATGGCCTGTGAGGACAAATTCGTTCCCGTGTTCGAATCGGTATCAATAAAGTGTTATAACTCATTTCGGCTATATATAATATATATATATATATATATATATATATATATATATATATATATATATATATATATATATATATATTATATTATATATATTGATTAGTTTGAGGAAGCTCAGTAGATCTGTTATAGTAAAAATTACAAAAAAAAGTTATTAACAAAAATTGTAGGCAGCTTTAAACTCCATATTTTAAAATTAGTTACAATCCTACAGGGTGTTCCATAAGATGGTAGCAGACCAAACTTATGTTTTTTTAAATGAAACACCCTGTATTTTATTTTAAATTTGAAATCTGCTTCACTTCCACATTACAACAATGTAAAGTTTTATTATGTTATACCGGGTATTTAAAAAGTTATAACCAATATTACCTGAAAATCGTATCAAGTTTAACTCCCTGTATAATTAAAAAGGATTGTAGGAACATTGATCTATTGCAACCATAGTTTTTTAATAATTGTTAAAAACTATAAAACATATTCATTTTCATAATATTCGTTAAATCAAATACAGGGTAAGTCAAAATGCAAGTACATTATTTTCTTGGTAATTTTAAATAGAACACCCTGTATTTTATATCACTATCGAAAAGAACTAATATCGTACTTCATATTTTATGGAGTACTCCCTATACCTAAAGTTATTAGTTTTAAAGATATTTTTATTTTTCCATCAAAGTATTAATTTGGTAGATATTTTAACGTTTACCAATAATTATTGTGAGTTGGCCATGATTGATTTGTCAGAAACTGACAGTTTGACATTAATATTTATTAATTCAGTATTGGGGTACACCGTAAATTAGCAACAATTATTATTTAGTAATTCAGTAATAATTGATTCAATTTAAATTAGCAATAATGAATTTTACTACTGATGAAATGGTAGATATGATCTGGATATTGGGGGAATGCAATAAAAATTCATTCCTATCAGCTAGAATTTATCAAGAACGGTTTCCAGATAGGCGACAACCTAGACAAGATATATTTGAAAAATTGAAAGATCGATTTAACCGCACTGGTTCAGTAAATTATGAAAAACATGAACGAACAAAAACTAGTGTGACAAAGGAAAACGAAATGAGTGTGTTGATGGCGGTTACAGAAAACCCACACACAAGCATAAGGACTATTTCCAATGAACAAGAACTTAGTTACTACTCTGTTCAAAACATTCTATCTAAAAACAAGATGCACCCTTATCATATTCAAAAGCACCAAGAATTAATTAATGATGATTTTCAGAAACGAATAGTATTTTGTGAATGGGCCTTAGAAAAAATTAATGAGCAGAGAGATTTTTTTGATTATGTCCTATTTGGTGATGAAGCTACATTCCATCGAAACGGTTCTTTTAATAGGCATAACTTTCACTACTACTCAACAAGTAATTCATACCACATAGTAACACATAAAAACTAGACTTCCAGTTTTTCCAGTTTTTACTTATGCATCGGAATGCTGGACCCTTACTGAGAAAGACAAAAAGAACATAGATGTATTTGAGATGTACTGCTGGAGACGAATGCTGAGAATACCATGGGTGGCCCGAAGAACAAATGAATCCATACTGGTCCAGCTAAACATAAAGAAAAGACTAAGAACACAAATAACAGAACAGATAATAAGCTATTTTGGACATGTGCTTCGAAGAAATGGTCTTGAAAAACTTACCATCCAGGGAAAAGTAGAAGGCAAAAGAAGTAGAGGTAGATCTCCTACACGATACACGGACCATATTGTTGCTACCATTGGCGCTCCATTGTCAGAATGTGCTAGATTGGCAGAAGATAGAAAAACGTGGAGGAACATTGGAAAAATTACCTAACAGCTTCATGATATCACGATACCTGCATCAGGTTAACGACTAAGAAGAAGTAACACATAGTCAAACAAGATGGTCTCTAAATGTGTGGGGAGGTATCGTCGGTAACCATGTAGTAGGACCATATTTTTTTGAAGATAATTTAAATGGTGAGATTTATTTAGATTTTATTGTAAATCAGTTACCGATATTATTAGAAGAAGTTCCACTTAATATACGTGAAAAAATGTGTTTCTACATGACGGTGGTCCTGCGCACCACAACGAATTAGTACGTGGTGAACTTAATAATCAGTTTGGGTAAAGATGGATCGGAAGTGATGGACCGGTAAGGTGGCCCCCAAGGTCACCAGAATTCAATAAAATGGACTCATTTTTTTGGGGTTACGTTAAGAACGAAGTGTATAAAATACCCCCAACAACAAGGGATGATATGAAAAATAGAATCCGAATTGCATTTCAAAATATTTCTTTACAAATGCTTAGTAATGTAACCATCTCTTTCAATGACCGTTTTCAAGCATGCATAGATGTTTTGGGAGGTCATTTTGAACACCTTACTTAAGTAAGATAAGTTAAACTTACTGTTGTTTTTAATTTTTCTATGTGTTGTTATATTTTTTTTTATTTTCCGTAGGTTATTTTTTATAAATTTTATTTTAAATAAATTGTTTTCTTTTCTGTGTCGGTATTTCGTTACTAAATTATTAAACAATAATGTCAAACTGTCAGTTTTTGACAAATCAATCATAACCAACTCACAATAATTATATTGTGAGTTGGTAAACGTTAAAATATCTACCAAATTAATACTTTGATGGAAAAACAATAATATCTAGAAAACTGATAACTTTAGGTATAGGGAGTACTTTATAAAATTTGAAGTACGATATTATTACTTTTTGATAGTGATATAAAATACAGGGTGTTCTATTTAAAATTACCAAGAAAATAATGTATTTGCATTTTGACTTACCCTGTATTTGATTTAACGAATATTATGGAAACGAATATGTTTTATAATTTTTAACAATTATTTAAAAACTATGGTTGCAATAGATCAATGTTCCTATACTCCTTTTTAATTGCACAGGGAGTTAAACTTGATACGATTTTCAGGTAATATTGGTTATAACTTTTTAGATACCCGGTATAACATAATAAAACTTTACATTGTTGTGATGTGGAAGTGAAGCCGATTTTAAATTTAAAATAAAATACAGGGTGTTCTATTTAAAAAAACATAAGTTTGGTCTGCCACCATCTTATGGAACACCCTGTAAGATTGTAACTAATTTTAAAATGTGGAGTTTAAAGCTGCCTACAATTTTTGTTAATAACTTTTTTTTAGTAATTTTTACTATAACAGATCTACTGAGCTTCCTCACACTAATCAATCACCCTGTATATATATATATATATATATATATATGTATATATATATATATATATGTATATATATATACAGCAGAACCCCGATTATCTGTGCTTCACGGGACTGGGCGACGGCACGGATAATTGAAATGCACGGATAATCCCAACATTTTTTTTAATGTATATGTACGTAAGTACATTGTACATACATGCATATATACCTATCACATACATACCTATATGTACATATATACCTATATGTACATAAACACAAAACACATACTTAACAGAACAAAAAACAGATTTCTACCGAAATAAATTTTTATATTAAATAATATAAATAAAGACTACATCAAAGTATTATATATTTAAGGTGGCTATGCTTTTGAAAAAAAATTGGTCACTTTGGTCTGTGTTAAGAGTTTTCGATTTTTTATAATATTCTGACGTATTTTACGCAAATTTAAAATATCGACAAAGTGTGAAGATTATTTTTTCTCAAAATAGTCTATTACAACATTGACAGATTCTTCAGCCTTTTGGTTAGTTATTCTGTTGATTAATAACGTTTTATTGTTTATTGTCTTCCTCTTGACTATCATTTTCGGATGAATCAGACTGTGACGTACCGGGCTGATGGGAAACCAGTTCGACAATTTCGTCGTTGCTGAAGAGCTGATAGCCTGACTCATTTTTATCACACTCTGCCCATCTCTTAGTCTCAACCTCGGTTTCATCAATTTCTTCAAACACATCGATGTTGCGCACTAGTGCAGTTGGTTCAGCTATGGTAGTGTCTTTATCATCATATTCCATGATACTTTCATCTTCCTCTAGCGTCATTATTTTGTAAAAAATCTTTTGATAATGGTCTCTTTTACTCCATTCCATGCATTTGCGACTGTAAAAATTGCATCTTTTATGGTGAACGATTTCACTTCATCAGTGAAAACTTCATTAGATGAACTTCATCCAACAAGTTCATCATACATTATTTTCGGTAGAGTTGTTTCATTGTCTCAATAACACCTTGATCCACTGGTTAAGCAATGGATGTAATATTGGCTAAAAAAAAGAACAAAGAAATTTCCATCGTCAGATCTTAGGGTCGCCTCATTGGAATGAGCACCAGCATTATCCAGGAGAAGAACCGCCTTTTGTAGTATTTTTTTTCTTCTAATATAACTTTACTTCAGGAATGAACTTTTTATGGAACCAATCTTGGAAAATGTTACAAGTTATCCATGCAGCCTTCTGGTTATAATAGTGAACTGGGAGATCCTGTCGTTTTATATTTTTAAAAGCGCGATAATTTTTTTAATTTTCAATCACAGTCAGCTTCAGTTTATGACTGCCAGACGCATTGGTACAACATATCACGGTTATCCTGTCTTTACCCATCTCATTACCTGTAACTAAAGTTTTTGTAGGCATTCCTCGCCAGTATAATCCTGTTTCGTCAGCGTTATAAATTGGAGAAAGTTGTAAATTATTTGCTGTAATTATGGTCTCCAGATAAAAGCAAAATTCCATCATTGCTTCTCCGTCGGCACCGAGTTTTTAGCCTTGGATGGTAAGCTCACGAATTCAGTGACGTTTTTTGAATCGATGTAACCAACCACTGGATGCGTTAAAAGTTTCTATGATTTTCAAATTTTTGTGAAAAATCTTCGCTTGCTTAGCACACATTGTTCCCGAAACTGGTACGCCCTCAGATCTTTTCTGCAGAAACCACTTGGAAAGCGCTTCAACGAGTTGTTGAAAAGTCGATCTTTTTAACGATTTAGTTATTTATAGTCATTCTGATAAAACGCCAATTTTTTGTTAAGTAGCACGGATAATCCGCACACGGATAATCGGGGTTCTACTGTATATATATTATATATATATATATATATATATATATATATATATATATATATATATGCTGCTGTACGCTTGCAGGAAATCTATGAAGATATTATGGATATTTCTATTAAATTCCTATCCTTTTTTAAGCAGCTGTCTTAGAGTAAAGATCTGATCTATGGTCGATCTATGTTTTCTGAAGCTGGCTTGGTATTCCCCCATGAAATTTTATACAAATGGTGTCAGCCTACTTAATAGGATGTTTGATAAGATTTTATATGCCGTATTAAGTAGGGATATGCCCCTATAATTAGAGTACTTGGTTTTGTCTCCCTTTTAATGGATGGAGATTATTACACTTTCGTGCCATTTTGTTGGTATTTTCTCTTCGTTCCATATAAGTATTATTAGTTTGTGTATTTGTCTATGTAGAATTTCTCCTCCGTACTTAAGGAATTCAGCCAGTATATTTTCAGAGCTTTTCCTGGAGCTTTTCCGTTCTTCAATTTGGTAATTGCTTGCAATGTTTCATCTATTTTGGGGTCCTCTACCGGTAGGTCCACCCCAAAATATATATTTTCTCCATGTTCTTCCTCTTGGTGTATGTTTAGTAAAGTCTTGAAATATTCTTGCCATGTTTGGAGCAGTTCTTTTTCATTTATTACTAATTCATCATTTTTTCTGAGTACAGACACACATCTAGATCTGAAGCCTTTCTTTTCGTTTGACACTGATTTGTAAAATGCTCGACTATTTGACTGTTGCCTATTCCTTTCCATATCTTCATATTTCTGTTTTACCTACTCCTTTTTTTCTCTCTAATTAATTTTCTTGTTTCTCGGCGTGAAGTTGCATAATTCTCTTAACTTTCTGCTATTCCTTGTTGAAGCATAATGTGTCGCTTTATCTGTCTGTCGTGTAGTTTTTCTTGATATTCTCTATCAAACCATTTCCTTGTTCTCCTCTTGCTTTTTCCTTTTATTAGTTCTGGTGGCTCCGTAATTGATTTTTCCATTTGTTGCCAGAGCGTTTCGACATCATTGCTCTAGTCTACTGTATTTAGATGCTGTTTAATTTATTGCTTGTAATTTTCTCGGATTTCCTCATTTTGCATTTTCTCGATGTTCCACTGTCCCAATGCTTCTTTGGCCTTAGGTTTCTCTGAAGATATTCTCAACCTGATTTTTGCTCTTACTAGGTGATGGTCTGTATCTCCATCTACTCACCTGCGGCTTCTTACATCCAGCACATTACTTCCATGTCTAGCATCGATAAATTCCTGAAAAAACAATTAAATGGAATAAACAAATACACCGCTCACACAGAAGTCATTAACGAACAGCAATAGAACTATGTGAACAAACTTAAGAAGAAGAAACAGAAGAACAAACTTAATATGGACTTGACCATATAACAATGAAAAAAGTTATGGTGACAATCACAATACCGAAGAATAAAAAACCTACAGAAACAGATTAAAAACAGCATAACAATCAATAGACTAAGTACTACAGCCTTAGCCAATTCTTAGCATTCTTCGGAAGATAGCCATTATTTTGATTTTGAGAATATACAGATTTTAGAAAGTTAAATTGTAATAAAAGATGCGTGTTGGAGATGATTTATTTTAAAAATTAATCAACCTGTCCCAATATAAATAATCAAACAACCCAAGCTGATATAAAATACTTCTCTAATATACATTAGAATTTAAATAATTATAAATTTAAATAGTTAAATACACTACTTGACACGATACTGGCAAGCTGGACCTCTGGAAGCATACAGACAGAATCCATTTGTATTTTTGTTTACATTAATTGCTCATTGAAAATTCACGGTCCAAAAAATATTTAAATAAACTGCATGTTAATCATTTCATTTCCTTCAGGTGATGATGAGGAAATTGACACACCCCAAAATGTCACCGTAATAAGCCCCAACACAACACTACTTGAGTGTCCAACAAACCTAGGCCAGATAACTTGGAAATATTTAAGTAGCAGCGAAGGGCCTTTGGAAACAAATTTAGAGGTAACATAAAAAGTAGCTATTTGAAGTTTTATAATTTTATGATTGACTTTATTTTCAGAGTGACTCTCCGTCGTCATTTATATTCACTCCGAAGGAACATAATAGTGGAATATATGTATGTATGGCGAATAATTCATTTTTGATTAAAAAGTTTAACGTGACTGTGTTGGAAGCCCCTTATTTTACACGAAAAAACCAAATGACGAAGCTGTTAGTGAAGCCTGCCGGAAACATGGTGAGGCTCACTTGTAGAGCTGGGGGAAATCCCACGCCGAATATCACGTGGTATCGAGATGACAAATCTCCCCCTACAAGGAAATTAGGAGATATCAAAATCAACCACTGGTCGTTAACTTTGGAAGATTTGGTTCCTAATGATAAAGGAAATTATACCTGTTTAGTGTGTAATGTCATTGGGTGTATAAATTTTACTTTTGCTGTGGATGTAGTGGGTAAGTACCTAAATGAAATATTCAGCCATAATATTCGTGTGATCATTATTTTCCTATTAAATTCTTTATATATAGGAGCAGATTTATAGAGACTAAATTATTTTAGGAAAGTATATAAAAAGCTTGGAGATATTTAAAAATTTTTATTTCTTTTTAAAGACATCTTCACTTTAAATGACATTATACGTATAATATATTTTAAAGATCATGTTGAAATTTTTAATAACCTTTATAAAAACTACAATATTTTAAAAATATGTTTTAATAGATTTATTTTCTTCATTATAATAATAGTCCAGGCGGAATCTGTCGAAAAGTAGACCATAATTGACATTTTCGATAGGAGTCTATTTTTTTGCTGGAATTACTTCAGGATGTACCTTGCATCAATAATCACGATATGTGCTAGTCGTAAACTTTAATTAAATGATGAATTTTTATTTAAAAATAACGGAAAAATCGAACATTTTTACTTTTTTCAATTTTTTGTTTTTCAATTTTGCATAATATTTGACTAGCGAGAAATTGAAAATTCAATGTTTATTGTTTAAAAAATACCAATAATTGCGACAAAAAAATACAGGTTTTCTTTTAAAATTTTTCGACCCCTTAAACATAACATACTGCCTTCATATTCCGCCTAAAAAAATTTTATAAAACGACTGAAATTTATACTAAATTTCGTTAGGATACATTTAATAGTGTTTCCATAATAGTTTTGCAATCCAAGTTCCGCACAAAAAATTTCAAATTTGTAAAATTATGCTGGGTCCAAAATAAGCACTTAAAAAAATTTGCATATAAAGAAAGGCTCAAGCTTTCAAATGCACAAAATTGAAATCTATCAACTAGGAAGACCTATATAATTTTTTAAAGTTATAAACAATTTTGGATTTATAAATAAATAACATAACTTAACGAGTTTAACATATAGCAAGTTCAAAATTTGTACACTTATAGAACTTTGAAAGACGCTTCTTAAAAAAAAAAACCATGCATTCTGTTTATTCTTCTTCTTCTTGACTGGTTTTACAACTCCGGGTGAGTTTTTGCTGAATCCACTATAGCCCTCCATCTTCTACGACCTTGCGCTTTCATTTCCCATTGTTGTACCCCAATCCTAGATCGGTTCGACATCATCCTTCCATCTTTTTCTGTGACAGCCCACTATTCTTTTACCGTGTGGTCTCTCAAAGAAGACTGTCTTCCTTTAATCTTACCACATGACTTGCCACATACAGAGTCACCAATTCAGCATTGCCGCGCATTCTCTACTCTCCTTTCAATTCATTCAATCTTTTGAGGTTAAAATATTACTCCAAGAGCCTTTCTTTGAAATATTAGCAGCTCATTTATTTCTTGCTGATATAGAGTCCGTGTTTCACTTCCATATGTAATAACTGGGCGAATAATTGACTTATACAGTCTTAATAATGATGGTAGAGTGTATAATGCTATAATCCCCTTAGCTATCGTTGCTGAGTCCCCTTTTTCTATATGGTTCTCATCTGTGATTACCGTCCCCAGATATTTAAATTCCTTTACTACTTCGAAGTTGTAGTCATTAATAGTTGTGTTCTGCCTAACTCTTGGTCTTGGACTTTTGGTTACCAGCATGTATTTCGTCTTCTTTCCATTTATTAGAAGACCCACACTAACTGTTTCCTCCTCGAGTTGTGAAAACACCTCTCTCACGTCTCTTGTAGAATGAGCGATTGCAGCTAGATCATCAGCAAAGGCCAATATTATGTTTGATCCCTGATTCGCAAATCCCCCTGTAAGCTCAGAAGGTATTTTACTTATTGCATATTCCAAGGCCAAATTGAAGAGCAACGGTGATAATATGGGTCTTCTGGTCTAAGTCCTGATGTTATGCTAAATGGCATCGATATTCTGTTTCCTATATTTACCTGTGCATATGAATCTGTCACGCATATTTGAGTTAGCTCCACTAATTTTCTTGGTAATCGCATTTCTAGCATTTCTATTTAGCCGTATATTCTAATAGCCGTAGTCTATTTCTTTTTATCGAATGCCTGCTGGAAATCTACCAAAATTTGGTGTACATATCTCGGTTGAATTATTAGTTGTTTTCTAATATTTGTCGGATCGTAAATATTTGATCTGTTTTTGACCTGCCAGCATGAAACATGTGACTACTACTACCGCATTGGTGGTAGTAGTCGTAGAATATCTTCCGAATATAGAGTGAGCCCCTTAAGCAAAATAATTGATAGAACTTTTCTTCTTCTTTTTGTGCCACTCCTATCGGAGATTGGAAATCATCAAGGCTATTCTGACCTTGTTTACGGCTGACCTAAAAGTTCATTAGTGGTGCAGCCAAACCACTCTCTCAAATTCCGCAACCATGACATTCTTCTACGGCCCGGATTCCGTTTTCCTTCTATTTTTCCCTGCATTATATTTTGAAGTAATGCGTATTTATGTCCTCTCATCAGGTGACCAAAACATTCGAGTTTTCTTCGCTTTAGCGTTAACAAAATCTCTGGGTCTTTTCCTATTCTTCGTATTACTTCACAGTTTGTTATTCTTTCAACCCAACTAATCTGCAGCATTCGACGGTAGCACCACATCTCGAAACTTTCAATATTTTTCATGTTGTTCTGTTTGAGAGTCCATGCCTCTACACCGTATAATAGCGTGTTAAATACATAGCCTCTCAGCATTCTTAATCGTAGAGGGATGCTTATATTTCTGTTGCAGAAGCATTTTCTCATCTTTATGAAGGTGGCCCTGGCAATTTCGATACGTCTTTTTATTTCACTGTTTTGGTCTCCAGTTTCGTTTATTAAAGTTCCCAAGTATTTGTAGTTTGATACTTTTTCAACTTGAGTGCCGTTTATACTAATATACGCTGGTTGTGTCATGTTTTTACTGAAGACCATATACTTGGTTTTTTTAATATTGATATTTATACCATAATTGTTGCAAGCAATATTTATGTCTGTAAGTAATCTTTGTAATTCTTCTACTGTTCTTGCAACTAGTGCAGTGTCGTCCGCGTATCGAATATTATTTACAATCTCTCCATTAATTACGATTCCTCCGTTTGCTTGTAAAAGGGCTTCCTGACAGATGCTTTCACTATATACATTAAATAACAGAGGTGACAAAATGCAACCTTGTCGTACTCCTCTACGTATTTCTATTGCTTGTGATTTTTTAGTTTCTATTTTGATGTTAGCTTTCTGATTCCAATATAGATTGAGAATTATTCGCAGATCTTTATTATCTATGTCCTTCCTTTCAAGAATCTCTCTAAGCTTATCATGGCGTACTCTGTCAAACGCTTTTTCAAAATCGATAAAACACGTATGTACCTCCTGATTAACGTCTAGGCATCTTTGTGTGAGAACATTCAAACCGAAGAGAGCTTCTCGAGCACCAAGCCCTTTTCTGAACCCCATCTGTGTATTACTAATATCTGACTCCAACTTTTGATAAACTCGGTTGTGGATGATTTTTAGAAATATCTTTAGTAGGTGACTCATTAAAGATATTGTTCGATGTTCTGAACATTCTTTAGCATTAAATTTCTTTGGCAGTGTAACGAATGTAGACAACAGCCACTCTTGAGGTATAATGCCAGTATTGTATATTGTATTAAATAAGTGCAATATTATACCTATTGATTCATCATTCAAGAGCTTTAGCAATTCGGTAGGAACCTCATCCGGTCCATTTGCCTTCCCAGTTTTGGAATTTTTAAGTGCCATTTCTACTTCACATTTTAGAATTTCAGGTCCCGTTTCGCCATATATCAGAACAATGTTATTTCTGTTGTCCTCAAATAATTCTCTTATGTATTCACTCCATCTATTAATTTTCTCTGTTAAATCTATAATAATCTTTCCATCTTTGTTCTTAAGCAAACTTATTTGACGTCTTCTTTGGGTTCCTGTAATTTCTCTTACTTTTTTATGTATATTGAACGTGTCATACTTTCTTTCATAGTTTTCCATTTCTACACATTGTTCTGTAATCCATCATTCTTTGGCATTTCTTATTCTTTGCTTTATGTGCTTATCAACCTCTTTGTATTTTTCTGCATTATTCTTCATTTTACGTCTTTCATCCATTAGTTCTAGAATGTCTGGTGTCATCCACACCTTATGTTTCTTTGCAGATTTGGTTAGGTGTTTCTTTCCCGTAGTTCTTATTATAGTATTTATATACTTAAGTTTTTCATCTATGTTGTCTGTTCTGCGGATTTGGCTTTCTGCTACACTGAGGCTGGTGTTTATTTCTTCTCGCACTGTTTGTCGTAGATGTTCATTTTTAAGCTGGCTTAAGTCTAATGCTGGAATGATGGCTTTTCTTATTTTCTTTGGTCTAGCTTCTATCACAGATACTACTGGATTATGATCCGAACCGATATCAGCTCCAGGGAAAGTTTTAGTAGATTTTACGGCATTACGGTATCTTTTTGTCACCAATATGTAATCTATTTGGTTTCTGACCATTTTTTCTTGTGTATGTTGAGGTGACGTCCACGTATATAGTCGCCTTGGGGTAGTTTAAAGAATGTATTAGTTATTATTAAATCTTCGCTTTGACAAAACTGAACTAAACGATCACCCCTTTCATTTCTATTACCTAAGCCATATTCACCGACATTTTCTCCAACTTTACCCTGACCTACCTTGGCGTTCAGATCGCCCATTACTATGTTAATGTGTTGTCTCTTTGTTGTTCTCATCACCTCTTCTAAGATATTATAGAATTGTTCTATTTCCTCTTCGTCTTTGTCTGCTGTAGGAGCATACACTTGTATGATGTTTATCATGTTCTTCTGTCCACAGATTAATAAATTTGATTTTCTTTATATCACCTATTAAGATTGATAAATAATATTTACTTGTTTCGTAAGGTGTGTGATTTACAGCAATAAATAAAAATACTATATTTATGCTTTGTGGTAGCTATTCAACTACAGACATTAGCGGTGCCAAAATGTCTGCAACGAGTCGCCACCAATG